CTCAGTGATCATGGAATCATCACTTAAAGTTCCACCCCCCTGCCATGGGACACCTCCCACTAGCCCAGGTTGCTCCAAGCCCTGTCCAACCTGCCTTGGACACTTTCAAGGATGGGGCAGCCACACCTGCTCAGTGCCCAGCAGATTTTGGGGTGAATTAGCCCCATCCTGAGTCCTTCCCCACAGCTCCCCACCCTGGAAAAGCCACCCCAGCCCCTTCCCTGTTTCCCCCAGCCCAGTGGCGGGGCCATGAGTTTAATCACTTTATGTGTGTTTGTTTGTGTAATTCCAGGGAGAGTGCCTCTTCCTCCCATCTGCCCCTGCCATCTGCTCCCCACGGCATTGTCGAGTGATCCCAGGCTTTGAAAATGGAGGGAGCTGGTGCAGGGACACAGGAAAACCTGCTGGGAATGGCACATCCTTATAGAGAGCATCTGTCTCCACTGGAGCCTTTTCCTGGTGCCAAAAGCCTCTTTGCTTCAGCCTCTGGAGTGACTGGGGAGGATTTCATACCCTCACCCGAGTCCTGGGGACACTCAACCGAAATGTCCCTTTCTAGCCCCAAAACGCCTGGCTTGGCACCTTTTTGGGCCAGCAGAGACACAGTGTGCCCCAGTGCTCCCAGTATTCCCATTGCACCAAGGCCTGCCAGTCCACCCAGTGCTCCCAGTGCTCCCACTGCCTGAAGAGCTGCCAGAGCCCCCAGTGCTCTGAGTGCTCCCAGTGCTCCCAGTGCCTGAAGACCTTACAGCTCACCCAGTGCTCTCAGTGCTCCCAGTGTTCCTTCCCAATGTTCCCGTTGCCCCAAGACCTCCCAGTGCTCCCAGCGTTCCCATTCCCCGTGTTCCCAAAGCCCCCCAGCCCTTACCAGTGTAACAGGGGTCCCCCATTTCACCCCAGACCAGCCTTGGGGGGACCAGGGGCTGCACCCCGAGCTCCCTTCCTTGGGCCGGTGCCTCGGGGGGGGGTGTGCGTGGGGTCCCGGGGGGGGTGGGGGATAATGGGGAGGGGATGCTGCGGGTGCCGCCGGTGCACCCGGTGCCGGTGCCTCCGATGCCCCCCGGTGCCGGTGCCTCCGATGCCCCCCGGTGCCGGTGCGCCCGGTGCCAGTGCCCCCCGCTGCCAGTGCCCCCGGTGCCGGTGCCCCCGGTGCCGGTGCCCCCGGTGCCGGTGCCCCCCCGCCGCCCAGCACTGCAGCGGGCGCTCCCGGCGGGCGCTCCCGGGCTGCGTTGGCGCACGGCGGCGGCGGCGGCGGCTGCTCTCCGGGCAGGTAGGAGGTGGTGAGGACGGGGAGAACCCGGGGGGGGGACAGGCACACACGTCCTGGGGGCACTGGGGAGCCGGGGAACCCGGGGCACCGGTGCGGACCCAGCCCCGGGCACGTCCCTCCCCGCCGGCGGCTGCAGAGCCGCTCCCGCCCCAGCGCATCTTTTCGGGGTGCCCTGTGTCCCCCTCGGTCCCCAGCGCGCCTTTCGGGGGTGCCTGGTAACCCCCCCTCCTCCGAGGGGACCTTTCCTTGGGTGTGTCCCTGGCAACCCCCCTCTCTCCGGGGTGTCCGGTTTGGGGAGAACCCCCTGTAGCCCCCCCACGCTACGGGAGAGTCTTCCCTGGGGGTGCTCAGCCACCCTTCCGGAGGTGTCCGCTGTGGAGTGGTCCTTGCAGACCCTTCTCAGGGCGCTGAGCCCCCCAAGGGTTCCCCTCCCAGAGGCGGGAGCTGCCCCGAGCAGTGGGAAGGGGTCACAGACCCCCCTTTCCCTCGGGGGTGGGGGTCGTGCCAGCCCCGGAGGGACAAAACTGGGACCCCTGAGTGGGGTGGGGGCACTCAGATCCTCCCTCGGGCTGCTGGAGGGGGGATGGAGCAGTGATGGGGGGTGGTGGGGAGACACTGTGGGGTCCCAGCCCCCTGTAACTGGGGGTCCAACCCTGCTGGGCTGTTCCCCTTGGGGAGTCCTGTTTGCTCGGTGGTCCAGAGGAATGGGGGGTTTGGAGGTGCTGGGATCTCTCCCCACTTTGAATAAGGTAGCAGGTGCTCCAGGCACTGAAGCCCCCTCTGCATCCATGAAGCCCCTGAGCCCCTTCTCTCCCACAGAGGGGTCACAACACAGCCTTGGGTACTGGTAGTGGGTCAAGGTCCTCCCAGAGCCCCCGGGGTGGGGACCTGTGGTGCGTGGCCAGGTGCTGGACACCCACCCTGCCCTCTTTGGGCCCCTCTGTGCTCCTCGGGGGTGATCCTGGCGGGATGGGGTGCACTGGGTCCCCCCAGGGCTGTGGGCACCCTGAGGTGGGGAGGGAGCCCCGAGCAGGGACCTGCCACCCCCAGCCCTTCCTGGGGCCCCAGTGCCCGCCAGAGGCATCAAATATTAACAGAGACAGCGGAGGAGCTGAAAATAACCCTCCTCCGAGGGATCTGACCCAGATCCGGCCAGCCCCAAAGCTGGGCTGGACCCAGAGCCACGGGCAACGCTCTGCCGGGGCCGAATCCGGCCCCTTCCCCTCCTCCGGGCTGCTCTGCCCTCCTGATCCCACCTATATATCACCTATATATTATGCAAATGAGCTGTAAGGGCTTATTACGCAAACGGGAGGGGGCTGGCGCTGCCCAGCGCTGGGTGGTCCCCGGGGCCGCCCCCGACGGCTCAGAGCGGCCGGCGGGGATGGAGGGGGAAGCACCGGCGTCCTCCCGGGTGTCCGGGGGCTGCCAGGGAGCACTGCCCCGTCCCTCTCCCCTCCTGTAGCACAGAGGGAACCCCGAGCCGGGCCAGGCACCTGCCCCACTCCAGCGCTCGTCCCCCCGGGGCGGCCGGCGGGTCCCAGCGGGATGGGGAAGCAGAACAGCAAACTGCGCCCGGAGATGCTCCAGGACCTGCGGGAAAACACCGAGTTCTCCGACCTGGAGCTGCAGGGCTGGTACAAGGGTTTCCTGAAGGACTGTCCCTCGGGCATCCTCAACGTGGAGGAGTTCAAGAAGATCTACGCCAACTTCTTCCCCTACGGCGACGCCTCCAAGTTCGCCGAGCACGTCTTCCGCACCTTCGACACCAACGGCGACGGCACCATCGACTTCCGAGAGTTCATCATCGCCCTGAGCGTCACCTCCCGCGGGAAGCTGGAGCAGAAGCTCATGTGGGCCTTCAGCATGTACGACCTGGACGGCAACGGCTACATCAGCCGGGAGGAGATGCTGGAGATCGTGCAGGTACCGGGCTCCCCCGCCCCGCCGCGGCTCCTCCTGCGTGGTCCTGGGTGTCACCCCGGTGTCACGGTGGCTGTCCCCTCCCCAGGATGGGGACGTGCACCCTGTGGTACCCCCCTTGGGGGTACAGGGCTTGGCAGTGCCTGGGATGGAGCCTGTTGCTGTCTGCAGCTGTGGCTGCAAGGATCAGTCTAACCCAGAGCTCCTTCCCTGCCCTGGGGGCATCCCTTTGTTACCCCTTCCCAGGACTCTTCCCATGCTTCCAGGGAGGGCTGGGTGCATGGCAGCTGTCCCCAAGCACACCTGGTGGTGTTGGCAAAGGGACAGGAGATGCTCTCCTTGCCTTAACCCCAATCCCGTGGCATGAGCATCAGTGGCATCTCCTCCCTGCAGGAGCAGCTCCAGCTCTGGCTGAGCTGGGAGTTGAAACCCCCCCACAGCCTGATCCCATGGGAAAGGTGTAAAATGACATCACCATTCCCAGGGCAGTGAAGCCCAGAGCTGTCCCTGTCTCAGGTGGGCAACGCCAGGTCCCTGCACCCACCCTCCTCCCCATCTCCCTCTCCCAGGCCATCTACAAAATGGTCTCCTCCGTGATGAACATGCCTGAAGACGAATCGACCCCGGAGAAAAGAACGGAAAAAATCTTCCGACAGATGGATACTAATAACGATGGTAAATGAGAGGAGATGGAGGGGATTACGGAAAGGTCTCATGGATAAATCCGGGGGGGTCTTAGAAGGAGCCGCACGCACGCTGATTAAATGGCTCATGTCCGCCGGTGTGGCCAGGGCAGCCGGAGGGGCTCAGGGTGCTGGGCACCCCGGGGTGCTCATCCCGGGTGGGTGGGTGTCCGTGGGATGTGCCGACAGCTCTCTCTGTTCCTGGGTGGTGGCCGCCAGGCTGAGCCGTGTCCCCTCCCCGCAGGGAAGCTCTCGCTGGAGGAGTTCATCACAGGTGCCAAGAGCGACCCGTCCATCGTGCGCCTGCTGCAGTGTGACCCCAGCGGTGCCATGCAGTTCTGAGCCCCACGGACCCCCCGCAGCCCCCCCGCGGCCCCCCGCGGCACCCCCGACCCTGCAGCCGGCCACTGCCACCGTCCCTTGCCCGGCCCCCCACGGTCCCCACCCTGTGCCCTCACAGCCCCCTTTGGGATGGAGCTGGAGCCCGGCCGAGGCTGTGGCGAGGGGGAGCACAGGGGGACGGTCCCCTCCTGTGCTGGGGGGAAGGATGGAGGCAGGGTCTGCCCCGAGCAAGGATGGTCCCCTCAAACGGCGGGGGGTCGGAGCAGGGGGACAGCCCAGGCCGGCAGGAAAAGCTGGCGGTGAAGCCACCGGTGCATCTCTGTCAGGTGCTGGGACACGGCCCAGGGGACAAAGTTCTGGTGGCTTGGGGACCACTCCCCTCACACCCCCTCTGCATGCACACACTGCCACGGGCGTGGGCTGGGCCAGCCCCTTCCCCACGGCCGGCGCAGGGGTGGGAGCCGAGCAGGGGGGATGCGCTTCTGGTCTTTTAATACCTGCAGAATAAAGTTTGTGTCAGTGCAGTCCGTGGTGGGAAAGGGGCCTTCGACCCCCAGGGGAAAGTTCTTCCTTGCAGGGTCTGGATCCAGCCCAATTGCCCCCTCTGCTGAAGCTCCAGGTGACCCAAGGCCACGGGGATGGGCTCATGTGTCCTGGCTGGCGGCGTCCAGGGGATGTGTCCATCCAATAGCCGGGCTGGGAGAAAGCCAAGTCCTGTCGTGGGGCTGTGTGGGTGCTGGGATGGCCAGGACACATCCACAGGGTCATCTCTCAGGCCCCGCTCAGAGCTGGGCACATTCCATGCTGTCCAGCCTCAGCAAGCCCAGGCACTGCCCGGGGTCAGGGTTCTCTTCAGGAGCTGCCTGCAAGGAGACCTGCAAGCCAGAGAGGATGATGAGCACGAGACCAGTGGGATAAGGGTGTTGGATCAGTCAGTCTTACCCTCATCCTGGAGCCCCTGAGCCCAGCCAGGCCCATCCCAGCCCTGCATGGGAGCAGGCTGGTGCTGAGCCCAGGAACCAGGAGTCACCTTCCTCCGGTGTGTCCCGCGGCAGCAGCAGCCCAGGTGGAGGAGCTCCAGGGCGAGCAGGAGGCAGCGGATGCCAAAGATGATCTCCATCGACTCCAGCACGAGGGACACGGCCCAGAGGGACAGTGTGGAGCTCTGGGGGACATGGGGCATCAGATCCCTGCATATCCTCCCCATTCCCTGTGCACCCCCATCCAAAACCCGCTGGGCACTCACATAGACACGCGTGGGATCAAAGGGGCACTCACGGGAGACCGGGGCAAGGGCGATGTTGGCGACGGCACAAGGGGCCAGCAGTGCCTGGCCCTGGTTGCCCAGGGTCAGCCCGATGGCAACAAGCAGCCCCAGCAGGCAGGCCAGGCAGGCCAGGCTGCTGCAGGCGCTCAGGGCGAGAAGTGCCCATTTCTGCAGGAGGGAGAGAAGAGGCAGCAGGGCGAGGCAGGGCCGTGCACGGCCAACTGCCCACGTGCCCCTCCACGGGGACAGCCTCTGAGTGAGGGGATGTGGTGGCCGTGCCCACTCCATGGGAGGGTTGCAGCCTGCTGGGGGCTGGGTGAGGGGTGGGGGGCCAGGGGTGCTTACAAGGGCGGAGGGGGCGAGGTAGTGGGACAGCATGAGGGCAGCAATGCCACAGGAGATGGTCTGTGAGGAAGCACAGGGAGGTCAGAGAAGCCCCAGCGACATCAGTCCCCTTTCCCTGCTGACGTTGTCCCCGACAGCTCAACTGGCTTTTTTGGCATCGTGGGGGCAGTGCTTCACCTCCCCCAGCCTCCGCCAGTAACAAGCCCCTGGGTGTTTAATCCCCTGGTTTTGCTCTGGAAAGGCTTGTGTAGAGCAGGGAAGGGGACACAGAGCAGGGAAGGGGACACACAGCAATCCGTCCTGCATCCTATGTTCCTGCCCACCCTGCATCCACAGCACATCCATCCCAGATCCTCCTGCATCCCAGCTCCTGCCCAAACTGCACCCACGCCACACCCAACCCTCACCCACCCCGTGTGCCCCAGCCCTGCTGCCCGGGGTACCAGCAGGGCGGCGATGACGGAGGCGGTGTTGGCGGTGATGTACTGCAGGGACACGGCGTCCCGGGGGCTCACCACGAACCGCAGGACGGTGCCGTGGACGAGGGCCCCCGTGATGAAGTTGAGGTGCCCGACGATGAGGAGGATGAGGCCCGTTTTCATCAGCACCTTCTGGTGGCTGCCGGGATTGAGGTGTCCTGAGATGAGGGGAGAGGAGGGTGTGGGGTGGCCAGCACTGGGTTGTCCCTCCTGCCCTTGCACCACACTCGGCACAGGGATGGGGCGTTTGGGGACAGCCCCAGAGGACGTGGTCCATGCTGGCGGGGGGATGAGGCAGGAGGTGATGTGGTGGAAGCCACTGGTAGCCCAGGTATGCAAACCACTGCTCCAGCCGGCTCTCCTGGGACCGGGGAGGTGGTGTGGGGCCAGCAGCCATTGGGGACAGAGGTCCCTGGTGGGGTTGAGAAGGGCTGGGGCTCCCTGGAGCGACAAAGAAGCTCTGGGAGAGCAGCTGTCCCTGAGTGGCAGCTGCAGTGCTGGGTTCTGGCACCCGGTACTTTGAGGAGTAACCGTGGGGTTGTTCCTCACTTGGAACCCCCCCTGAGGCTGCTCTGCTCACACACCCACCATCAGCTGGTGCTCAGCCCAGCTCCATCCCTGACCCCTCAGCTGCCCTCCCTTCCTCCCTGCCTCAGTTTCCCCTGTCAGGATCACCACACCAGAGCCAGACTCACCTCCTTGGCACATCTTCACCAGGCCAGGATCAGGCCACCAGAGCCCCTCGATGCCCAAGTGGCCTGGCCCACTCTCAGCCCCTGGGCAGACGGGTCCATTGGGGTCCAAATGCGTCTGATCAGGACCAGGGCTGGGACTGGGCAGGACCAGGCAACCGGAGCCACTCACCTGCTGCACCCCACTGCTGCTCCAATTCCTGTCAGACCAGCTCCCTGGTGAACAAAGGGATAAACTCCACCTTCACCTGCATGTCCCACCCCTGCACTCCCCTTGCTGCCGAGCCAGCGGCCGTGCTGTGACATGCTGTGCCATGCCAATACACCATGCCATGCTGTGCCAATACACCCTGTCACTCTGCCTCATCCCCTTCCCCATCCATTCCCCCCTCCCCAGCACGCTTAGGTTATTCCACCCTACAGCAACGACAGCAGGCTGGGATCCAGCCAGGCAGGTCCAAGGCCAGGGGCTGAGGGTCTGGGAAGAGGCAGCCCCTCAGGCTGGGACACTGCCAGACCACGGGGCACAGGCCAGCACTGCCAGGTACCTGCAGAGGAAGGGCAAAGCAGCGGGGTCAGGGCAGGTGGTGACTTCCCAGGGGGTGACTCAGAGGAACCAGTCTGGTGGCCATCGCCCTCATGAAGCTTCCAGGGAAGTTACTGACAGCAGGAGACGGGGAGAGGGATGGGGACAAGGGCTTGCTGAGGTGGCTGCAGGAAGAGCACTCTGCTTACACTGGGGGGGGCTGTGGGGACCCTCCCTCGCTGGTGGGAGACCCTCACTGATCTCTCTGCAAAGCTTGTTGCAGACAGAAGGCACCGACAGCTTAATTACAGGGACAACCCTGGTTCCTGGGAGCAGTCTGGGGAAGAGCCTGGTCTAGGCAGAGAGTCAAAAACATTATCCCCAATATCCCACCTGAGCCATCACTCTCAGCCTTCTCAGCTCTGATACACCCAGTTGTGCTGGGAATTTGGCTTTAGTCCCCATCCTTCCCCTCCTTTAACCTGTACCCAGCCCTGCTGCACATGGAGAGGGAGAAGAGAGAATCCTCCTCTTCCCAAGCCTTTGGGAATAACGTTCACAAACGCCTGAGCCAAAGGCAAAGGCAGCTGGAGGATTTCCCCGTAGCTTTGGAAAGGATGAGATGGACACAAGTCCAATGACAACCAGAGTCTTTATTTATTCCAAGAGTCCCTTAGGATGGTTGCAGACATACAGACACACGTACATATTTACACTCTTACACACCTCACAGACTTTGAACCAATAAATTAAAACAAAAAGACGGCAGGGGATTTCTTTTTTTTTTTTTTTTTCTCCTTTCCTTTCCTTTTTATGTCACGTAAGAAACAGCGACTTCCCGAGGCGAGGCTGGGGAACCAGCTGGAGAATGGCAAACAGGAGCCAACAGGGACACAAGCCCGGCCCAAGAGACGCAGTGACAGCGGGTGTGCTGCCAGCAGGAGGACACGTCACACTCTGGCCTCGATGCACTCCAGTTGGACCATTTCATCCAGCCGGCAGCCCTCGGCTTGGGCACAGTGGCTCAGGTGGGCACTTGGGCTCTCGGCACCTCTAGCTTTGGGGGTCTGTGGGCAGCCTGCTGCAGTCTGAGAGTGGGGGGAGTCGCACTCGTCCGAGGTAATGTCCGGCACGTCGTCCGACTGGCTGTCGGAGCTCTCCAGGTCGCTCCGTATGCTCTCGGGCTGGGCCAGGGTGATGTCCCAGGTCTGGCTGGCAATGCAGTCCTTTTGCTCACAGCTTTGGTGTTTGCACGTCTGCTCCTGCTCACCGTCCTCTTCCTCCTCCTCCTCCTCCTCCTCCTCCTCTTCCTCATTCTCTGCCATTTGGGTGTGGACATGCAGAGAGTCCTCTGTGCTGCTGCCGCTGGCCAGCTGGTAGTGACTGGGTTTGGCTTCGATGTCCACCTGGATCTCCATGTTATTGCACTCCCTGCAGGAACAAGCACCCTGGCATTACTGGGAACGGTTACTGGGTTCAACCGGGCACCGCTGGGCACTGCACCAACTGAACTGGGAGGATCACACTTCCCAAACATGAGCCAGAAGCTGCTCATCACCCCTTGGCATGAGAGGAACAACAACACTCGCTGCTCTTGAGTTCTCCCCACAGCAGCCAAGATCTGAGCCAGGAGCTGAGCTGGGAAAGCTCCAGAGTCCCCAGGAGCTGCCAGGAACAGACCTTGAGGGTGCTGGGATGCAGATCCCCTCCTCAGGCTCCACACCACACACAGAGGCTGCTCCCAAATTGTCCCCAGTCCTCCTCCTGTGCCAGCAAAAGGACTGATCCACTTGCCAGGAGGCAGAAGAGCAGCCTGGTGCAACCACAGTCATCCCACCGCCCACAGCAGCGCTCACAGAGCACAGATTTTTCCAGGACACCCACTACCAATGCTCTTCTCACCATTCCATGTCCTCCTACCTGTCCTGGGGGTTGTAGGAGCTGATGATGGAACCAGCCATGGCTCGAGTGCTGGCGTTGTCACTGATCGCCCCCAAACTGACCGAGTCTTTGGGGAAAATCTCCTTCTGGACATCTGCCTGGACTTCCAGCCTGCAGGAAAGAGGAGGATTCCTTAGAAATGCTTTAGACATCCCTGAGGAGCACTAATCAGTCACCGTTCTTCACGGGAAAGCGAGAGGCCCTGGGTGCTGGCACAGCTCTGCATGACAGAGCTTAACCCCAATGGTTCCTCTCACATACAGTCTCATTTTTGGCTCCATTTAGGCAAATCCATTCTGTTTTCCATGACGAAGGTAAAGCAGTGTTTACCTCCATGACTCACACAATTCCTGAGAAGAACTGATTTCCACGGATCTCGCGCAGAGCCATGATTACATCCTGGCTGCCATATCAACACGTGTCTCTAATTACCCAGCAAACTGACTCACAGGCAGGTTTGGAGGGAAACTGCGGCGTAACCTCCTGACTTGGAAAGCAGTGGCACCGTTTGCACTGGAGAACAGGAAGCATCAAAGCCTCCAGGCTGGGATAAGAGGAGCGGAATAGCTCTAAGCAGGTCACGCAGGCATCTCCGCGCTATTCCAAATTAACCTGAAGCAGCAGCTCTGCAATTTTAGGGAGCTCAGTAGGGACAGAAACTCATCTTCTGTCCTCCTTGCCAGAACCAGCCAGGCACTGAGTCCAGAAGTAGCCTGATCACAGAATCATGGAATGGTTTGGGATGGAAGGGACCTTAAAGATTATCTAGTTCCAACCCCCTGCCATGAGCAGGGACACCTTCCACTAGACCAGGTTTCTCCAAGCCCCATCCAACCTGGCCTTGGACACTTCCAGGGATGGGGCAGCCACAACTTCTCTGGGCAACCTGTGCCAGGTCCTCCCCACCCTCACAGGGAAGGATTTTTCCCTGTCCAGCCTGGCCTTGAACACTTCCAGGGATGGGGAGTCCACAGTCTCTCTGGGCAGCCTGTGCCAGAGCCACACCACCCTGGGTCCCTGATCACCCTGGGTGATCTGCTGGGACTGGTTACTCTATGACAGACCAAGATGCAAAAGTCCTAGGACATAACTAGGTCGAAGCACAACCACTCACAGTCCTGGAGAGCTCCCCAGAATAAACCTGCCCAATCAACACAGCCCTTGGGACCCTCTGTGGTTCTCCCCAGCAATCCAATTTTACCTGCTGTACTTCCCCTTGCTCCCTGAGAGGACCCCCCCGCTCAGGGTGCCCCCGGAGAGGGCAGCAAAGCTGGCTGTCTCGCTGTAGTTGCCCTGCATGACACTGAGCCCGTCCGTGGGGCTGCCACTGGTGCTCAGGACGCTGGTCAGCCCCTCGATGCTGCTCTCACCAATGCTGGGGTTCTTCAGGGCTCTCCAGGCATCAGCCACTGCAGGGGAGGAGAGCACAGGGGTGGGAATCAGCAAGGGAAGTGATGTCTCATCCCAGGCAGCCTCCCAGCCTTGAGCAGAGCTGAGATTTTGCTTTGAGAGCAGCACACCTGATCACAGCAAGACTGAAGCAAATACCTGCTTCCAGCCAGGCCCAGGTGAAAACAGATGTTCAGATTTGGGAAACATCACAACCCCTGAGCATTTCATTACAACCCCTCCCCTCCCCCAGTCACCACGTTACCTGTGATGGGTCCATCATCTTCATCAAACTCGATTTTCACCCCCTTTCCATTGGCTGTGCTGACCCCACAGCCACCGCCCCGGCACAGCGAGATGGGCACGACGCCGTAGACGTAGGCCAGCATGATGGGGACCCCAATACCTGGAGGGGAGCATGGGCTGGGTTAAGAGGAGCTCAAGGCTGAGCTGTGTTGGGCAGACAGAAAGGATTTTTTTGGGGTAGGGACTCTCTCAGTTGTGTTTACGCTGCTTTTAAAAGGTTCTAGTTCACAATTTTGCAGACAGACAGAGAAGGAGCCCTTTGTTGGTGCAGAATAGGGGAACCCCAAGAGCACTGAACCCCTGAGACACCAGCCACCAAACCAGTCCATGAGTGAGGGACAGCTCTGTGTGTCGAGGGACACCAGGATGGGCTGTGGCACAGGCAGCTGGTGCTCCAGACAAGCCCTGTGCTGGCTCCAGGCCACCTCGAGCACATCAGGACGTGCAGCCTGGATGTGAGACAGAGGGTTGTGCCCAAACCCACACACAGCAGCACTCTGCAAACTGCCTTTGGCCACCCCCAGTGCACAGGGCTGGGCTACCCACTTGCCTTGGTGGCTACTGGCCCACCAGAAGGGACAGAGACTGAGCCCACTTACCAACACTGACAGCAGCGATGACTGGAGAGGCAATGACAGACAAGGTGACCCCTCCAGTGATGGCCAAGTTCCTCTTGTGCTTAGAGGTTTTCTTCCCCTCATACCTGCTGTGGATCTGACGGAAGGAGAAGCACCAGGTGAGAACAGCCTGGCCATGAGCAAACACCCAGAGGACATCAGTATTTGATTTTACAGCCTTGCCAGCTGTGTGAGCCCTTAAAGAACCTCATCTCCTCACAGATCTCCTCACAGACCAGACCTAGCAGGAGGGTCTGTGCTTAAGAAAAAGAAGCAGTTACAAGTAAAGTGCTGATGTGCCAATTCTTCCCTCCCAACATCTCTTTATCAGCACAGACACACACAGCAGCATCACACAGTTTGAGGCAGCAGGTCAGCACCAAAACACAAGTGATTTAAGCATGGCAAGGTGTGATGCTCAGAGTCCAACCACTGTCCCACAGAGCCCAACATCACAGGATGGGTTCAAAAGGGACCAAGTTTCTCCTGGGTTAAAGCAGAGGCACAAGAGCACTGCAAAATGCATTTGGGAGGACATGAGCCTGAAGGGCTATGAGGGCTTATCAGCCACCACCCTCCCTCTGCCCACACAAAGCCCAGGAGATAAGACAAGCTTTAGAAGAGACAACTGAATTTTGCTTCTGTTGCAAGATCCACCCTTCATATCAGCTCTAAATTTCTGGTCGGATGCCTCGAGCACAGGGAACGTCCCCAAACCCTTCTGCTCCCCACACTTACCTTCCTCCCCACGTACACAGGGATGCCAATGACCATGGCAGGAATGGCAATGCCAGCAATGAGGGAAATGCCCACAGGAGCCCCGATCAACGTGCCCAGCTGCCAGAGAATCTTCTTTTTACGACTCCATGGCTTTTTGCCCCAGAATGTACAGCCAGAGGGGCTTCGTGGGAGGGGAAAAAAAATGACATTAACACCACAGCAATTCCTAAATGTTCCCAAGAACCCCAAGTCCAACTTCCACAAAAATAAAACCCAAAACTTAGGAAGCGTGTAGACAACACAAAAGAGGTTTCTCTCTTCTTTTCCCCCCATCAAGATTAATTTTTCATCAAGGTGATTATCAATCACATTACCGGATGTGTTTAACGTCCAGTAGACCAAGAGCTCTCAAAAGAATCGTATCAGGAGCTTTTTTTTTTTTTGGTGTGGAAGAGCATGCCACCGTAAAGTGGGAACAAAGTTCAGCTCTTTGGGTCAGAAAGAAGAAAATTAGAGAGACTGAGTGCAGAGGCAGGAGGGTGAAAGCCCAGCACATGCAGCAAACCCCTCCGAACAGCCCCGGATGGGCATGTGCTGCCCCAGCAGCAGGAATCAGAGAATCATAGAATCAGCTGGGTTGGAAGGGACCTCTGAGATCATCAAGTCCAACCCTTGATCCAACCCTGCTGTGGTTCCCAGCCCATGGCACTGATGCCACATCCAGTCCCATCTTAAAAACCTCCAGGGATGGAGAATCCACCACCTCCCTGGGCAGCCCATTCCAATGGCTGAGCACCCTCTCTGGAAAGAAATTCTTCCTAATATCTAACCTAAACCTCTCCTGGCACAGCTTAAGACCCAGCCCTCTTGTCTTGCTGATCATTGCCTGGGAAAAGAGACCAACCCCCCCCCGGCTCCCCCCTCCTGTCAGGGAGTTGCAGAGAGTGAGGAGGTTTCTCCTGAGCCTCCTCTTCTCCAGGCTGAACAGCCCCAGCTCCCTCAGCCTCTCCTCACAGCACTTGTGCTCCAGTCCCTTCCCCAGCCTTGTTGCTCTTCTTTGGACCTGCTCCAGCCCCTCCAGCCCCCTGAGCTGAGGGCCCAGAACTGGACACAGCACTCCAGGGGTGGCCTCACCAGTGCTGAGTCCAGGGGAAGAATCACTTCCTTGGACCTGCTGGCCACACTGTTCCTGATCCAGCCAGGATGCCATTGGCCTTCTTGGCCACCTGGGCACACTGCTGGCTCATGTTCAGCTCCCTGTCAATCCAAACTCCCAGCTCCCTCTCTGCCTGGCTGGTCTCCAGCCCCTCTGTCCCAGCCTGTGGGGCTGCAGGGGGTACAGGCAGGGGAACCCCGGTGTGCTGCTCCCCCCTCCTCACCTGAGGTAATGCAGATCCGAGATCTCCTTCATGCAGAGCCAGCAGAACTCGCAGCCACACACGGCACACGTCATGTGGTTGCAGCTCCCGTCGTTCATCTTGATGATGTAGGCGCTGCAGCGCGGGCACGGCTTGATGTCGTCGGCTGCGGGGAGGAAGCACGGGATGGAGTTGGAACCTCTGCTGTGAGCATGAGGGAATCCACGAGGGGAATCTTGGCACGGGATGAAACCCCCTGTTTTCTGTGCACGCAGAACACCTTTGCTGACCGCAGGTGAAGTGGGGGTGCTGTGTCTTTAGCTTATCTTCGGAGCGAGATGGTAACATTGATGACAGACCCCACCAGAGCCCGGGCAGCAGGGACTGAGAGCAACAGCTACTTAAAAAACTTATTTTAACCTTGAACAGAATGTACTCCAGGACATGCTTAAGTGCTGGGAACAAGTCATACCTGCCCTGTGCTAGCCAAGGCAACAGCATAAGAACAAGCCACGACTGAATTGCTCCACTGAGGTGATTCATGGGCCAAGAACAACAGAACAACTGGGAGAACAGGCATTGGAAAAATACCAAACCCAGCCTTCTAGGGCAGCCAAAAGGGAACTGGGGTCTGCAGCAGAGGCTGCCCAGGCCCCAGTTTGCTGCTGGCAGAGTGGGATAAGGGTCTTTCATCTCTTCCTTAATTCAGGAGTCATCTGATCGTGGTTATGCAATGGCTGTGCTGTGGTTCAGGGCTTTGCTGGCCCCTGCGACGCTCAGCAAGATGAAATCCAGCTGCTGAGACCAGCTCACACCTTATTAATCACCACACTGGATCCAGCAGAACAGGGTGAGGAAAAACCACTGTCTCAAAAACCTCCCTTTCCGTGGCTAAGTGCCCTTCCTGGCAGGGATCTCTTTAACAGGGTGAAAAATCTCAGAAACTGGTTTGGTTGTTTTTTTTTTTACTGGCTGGTTTGTACCAGAGACTGTGGGAGTCTCTGCTGTCCATTATCAGGGCTCTCTAACTGGGACATGTTGAACCTCAACATACCACTAAGCCACCTCTGAACCACCCACGACAGCTCCACGCTAAGTGAATTAACATTTAAACTCCTGACATAGAAGGAAAACCAGGGTGTTTTGTTTGGGGGCAGGGCAGGGCTTTACAAAATGGCCTCACTGCCCACTTCCAGAGTCAATACAGTTATTTTTAAGGAACACAAACTCAGCAGACACAGCAGCTCCTACCAGGTAGTGTAGGAGTCTGTGGGTTGGCATTTTTTTTGGTACCTGACATTACTAACACCTAACAGTGCACAGAGCAAGGCTCCCCACACTCAGCTGGGCATGAATGCTGCTCCTCATGACCACAGCAGGCAAATTTGAAGCTGCAAGGGTAAAAAGTGACTATTTGTTCAGGGTTTAGATCAGCAAAAAGCGAGAACATCCAAGATCAAAAGAGCCACAAGCAGAGCTGGGGCGGATGAGGGGAGCTGCTGTCACACAGAAGGACCCAAAGCACATCATCACCTACTGGTCTGTTCAGCGCTCTTGGAGGAGCCCAGACATGTCCTAACACACAGGAGAAGGGGAAATGAGTCTAACAGCTGCTCTCACAGTGGCAGCTGTAGACCCTCAGCTGTGCCACGCAGGGCACTAACACCCCACTGCTTGGAGGGGAGGGGGGTTTACACAGAGGTGGCTCTTCCTCAGCTTCACACACGCAGCTGCAGCACTGAGTAACCAAAAAAAAAAAAAATCAGTGGTGTGATTCTTGGGGCTGTCCTGTGCAGGGCAAGGAGTTGGGATTCAATGACCTTAGTGGGTCCCTCCCAGCTGAGGATACTCTATGGAAAACACGTGAATCCATACCCGGCCCGGATTCCTGTCCGTAGCTGAGGCCCGACGTGTGCTTGGTCCGTACCCGCAGGGTCTGTGCCCGCTGCTGGCGGGCCATGTCGCAGGTTTGGTTGGGGTGCCATATCTGTTTGCAGTGGTAGCAGAACTCTGTCTGGCAGCCGTCCCTCTCGCAGGTCAGCTTGGGGCAGCTGGCACAGCCGTAGGCAATAACCGCGTAACTGCAGGGGGAACACGCCGGGGGCATTAGTGAAAGGCAGAGTTATCAAGCCAGAGCCCAGTGATCCTTTAATTCAGGGTGCCCGGGCTGTGGCTGCCTGAGCTGCTCTGCTCAGAGCAGCTGGTTGAAGAGCTGCTGCCAAGACAGGCGTGCCTGGTACCCCCGGAGCCCGCGGCAGGTCACCCAGAGCCCCCAGTCCGCCCACCCCACCTCTCCCACCTCATTTCTGATCACTGGTACAGCAGCCTCCACGCCAGACACATTCCTGCTCTCTCCAGCCCTGTGGCTTGCACTGCAGGGCCTGAAATTAAGCAGTGCTAATTGGGTTACTCGGGGCAGAGGCCTTTCACACAGCCAGCCTGTGACACGGAGTTCTCTCCTCAGTAACTGCTGGCAGTTCCCACGGGCAATTCACACAGACAAGATCTGTGCACGGTGTGCCCAGCTAACTCCTTGCTCCTTCTGCCAACTCAGGCTCCTAGGACAGGCTCAGGTTGCTCTTTCCAGGCACACACACCCCCCCCAGTTCCTTAGGACACGTATATGGGTGGATGCTGTGTGGTCTGGAGGAGTCTAGGAAAGCTGAGGTTATCCTGGGCACTTCTATTAACTGAATGATTCTAAAAAACTGCAATAACAGGGGATTCCATGTGTAGCTATGCCAAGAAGCAAGCTCCTGTTGATCTCCACAGAACTTTCTTTTCCAGAGAGTGCTGAAGAACAACACCCTGCCCCCGGAATAAGCCAAAATTTGAGTAAAACCAACCGAGAGTGCAAGACAGAGAGGCCAGGTTCAACCAGCTCACTTCTGATAGTAGTGTGACACTTCCAGGAGGAAGTGCCCTGTGTACACAAAAGTCTAAGCAGCATCAGCAAGCACTGCTAAAGAAATCTGACTAACACAGTCACTGAGGATGAGGCTGTTTCCATTGGCAGGGGCTGACATGAGCAATTCCAGAAGTGCCTTCCCAGCTCTGCGACACCCTTATGGCAAAAGGGTATTTTTGTTGCTCGTCCTCAGTATTTTTGTTGGTGGTCAGAGGGAATAATTCCTATTTAAGGCTTTATATTTAGAGCTCGTGTAGCTCAAGTTGTATTGCCTCTTCTCAGAGGCAGCGGCGTGAGAACCGCTGAATGTGTCATACCACAATGATTCACATTCCGTGGGAGTTTGAGCAACTTCATCCTGCCAGGCTACGACAGAGTCGCCAAAGAAACAACATCTCGGGGCCAGGAGGCACGACTGCAGGGCCTACGTGTGCAGCAACACACCTGCACCTGAGCCCAGTGCTGGAGGAGAGACAGGAAAACCTCATCCCTGGAAGTGGCCAGGGCTTGGAGCAACCTGGTCTAGTGCAAGGTGTCCCTGTCCATGGCATGGGGTGGGGTAAGATGATCTTTAAGGTCCCTTTCAACCCAAACCATTCTGCATGATGATCCTATGATATGGATGGCCCAGGGGTTTGGGAGGGACAAACTCAACCCCTGTGCATCTTGTCTAAGGAGTATCCCACTGAACATCCTCACCCTGCCACTATGCTACAGCCAAAGATCTTGGCAAAACAAAAAGGAAAAGCTTCATCTACCCAGCTGTGTTGTGACACTGCTATTTCAAACCATAACTAGGCTAGGAGAGCTCAGTGTAATATATTAAGCAACCCCATACTCCAAATTAACTCCTCACTCAAAACGCTGGTTTTTTTTAAACAGTCGAGAAATTAAAATCATCATCATTTATATTTTATTGCTAGAGCTGAAATGACAAATATCATGAACAAGCCCACAGCTGCGGGGAGACAAGCTACACAACTGTCTGTTGGGAAAAGAAATAACACATCTCCAAGTCAAGGTCAACTAGAAAGTGGGTTTTGAAGGGCTATGCCTGGGAATAGTTATGGCACTGGATGGCCAGTGCATTCCCCTCTTCCCCTGACCTCTGACACATCGCTGACTTAAACAGCCATTTCCAGGCCCAATCCCAGCAGATGAGAAGGGAAACTGAGTTTTCCCCACAGAGTGTCTCCCTGAGACCCCAGGAATCACACAGCTCTGCTTCCAGCCCACGCCTTGGACGGCCACGAGTTGCCTCCCTCCCTCCTCCTGCTCATTCACAGAGCTCAGCCTACACAGCTCCGTTCCTCTAAAGGTCCTGTTATTCTCCCAAGCTTTTGGGAAGGATGCAGTGTGACAAACACTAGACAGCGATACCACCTGACTGTAGCAAGGGGAAAAACCGAAGCCGCAAAACACAGAAAATGATTTGTTTTGCGATTGATGGCGCATCAATTGACCGGAGTTTCCATGGCAACATGCACCGGTGTTGTGTTGGTCCTCCTCCTCCTCCCCTTCCCCGCAGCACAGCCAGGCTCTTCCATTTAAAGAGGAATTTAAAGAAAAGACTGTGGCGTGTGAGGAAGGCGCCGGACGCTGCATGTCACACGCCCAGGGTCGTGTCTGCCATCCCCCTGCAGCCCCCTGATGCCACCACCTTGGTGGGGGTGACACCCAGGGCCAAGCATGGCCATACCCCAGCCCTACACACCTTGGCAGGGGTGACACCCAGTGCCAGCCACGGCCGTGCCCCCAGCCCTACGTTCCCGCTCTGGCTCTGTACTCCAGCACTACTACAGCGGGGAAAGCCCACTGTAAATAATTCATACCCCGATTTTACATAAGCACAGCCACACAAGCTCTGCTGGGAAGAATGAATAGGGTGATTAATTCTTCTCCCTGCCGGAGGGCTGATTCCAACAGCCTTTGTGTGAGTGCCACTGACACACCAGCAGTGCTGGTCCACGAGGCTGCCTGGTCTCCAACAGCCCCAGGGTCGCTTCTTGCTGCTCTGGGCAGCTGGGAGGAGGATGCTGTGCGTGTCACCTGGCTCACCCTGCTCACTGACTAACCAGGGAGGAGGCTTTTGCTCGCAGAAAGAGCTGCCTGTGACACCAGTCTGCCCAAAACCCCTCAAAGCAACGGCTGTGTTGCTGTGACAGAGGCAACGCCCTCCGGGCCGTGCTGGAGCTGGCTTCTTCCACCCAGCCAGCCTGGGTGACGTCGGCTGTTTGTACACCTTATCCTGAGCACAGATAATATCAGAGCAGTCAAGGAGCTGAGATTCCGAGAGCAGGAACCGGATTTTCTCTAGCTGGTTAACAGCAGGGGCATTCCCTCTGTGGCAGCACAACCAGCTCTTGTCTCTCTGATCTTATCCCCAGTGCTGGTGAAATATCAAGATCTCACACTCGATTTGGCTCCAGAAAGGAGCAAAGCTGTTGTTTGCCTTTAATTTCACCCTTTGAAGGAACAAGCCCTTATACAGGATGCTCAGAGGCCGTGAAATGGGTAACCTGAGCCAGGTTCACTGATTTGCATAGGATGCCTATTACAATGCTTTGATTAAATCTTCACAACCCTCCCACCACCTTTTCCATTCCGACTACTAGGTCAGACTTTCCTTTCATGTCCTCGCTACTCAGAATTGCCATCCAGGCTGAATTCTAGCTAAACTTCACAGCACTTCTCTTAAGTTTCCCAAACAAAGCCCTTTTCCAGGCAGCTTTGGCTTACGCTCAAACAGAAACCAACAGAGTTCGTTGGAAGGAAAATGGAAGAGAAAATGAAAGCAACACACTCATAACTACACAGTCATCACAGTTGGCTGGGCTGACTTCTGGACAGACAGACATTTCCTCACTTAGGCAACGGATAGTGAGTCAACATCACTCCTCTCTGCCATGTATTCAACGTCCTCACTGGGAAATAGTGACTGTTTACAGTTCCTTCTTCCCCACCGTGAGGGCTGCAGCGTGTCCCCATGCACTGTCCCCACGGCTCACAGCGAAACTCGCAGCTGGGAAACTCCACGCTTCCCATTTGTGCAGAAAAAAAGGCTTCTGTTAAATTAGGGAAACGATGGCTCAGCTAAAACCCCCTTCAAATCCTGTCACTCGTGCCCGATCTGCCTGTATTTCCACAATCCCCAAGGTCAAATCCCGGTGCCCTAGAGAGGTAACAGGGATAGATGGAGTGTCATTTTGGTACCCAAGGCCCATCAGCTGTCCTGAACAGACTGCTGACAAGCAAAGAACATCTGCACTGAGGGCTCTTTGTGGGACTCAGTAGAACAGAAGTGTGTACGGGCAGCAGCACCCCACTGGGGCTGATCCTCCCTTTGCTGTCCTGGGAGCCAGGTGGGGACAGGCAGCATTTCAGCAGGACAGCAGGTCCCAGGGCCATCCCATCTGGGATGCCATCCCCGGGACTTGCTGGGGAAAGGTAGCATCTCGCTGGGGCAGTGGGATTGCCCAGCTGTCCCAGGATGTGCTGGGGACAGGCAGCACCCCTCCAGGGCGGGGAGTCTCCTTTCCCCAAGACGTCCCAGTATGGATGGATGGGGCACCACCCTACGGGACAGCAGATCCTCCCATCCCCACGCTCTACCAGGATGGACAGGACAACACCCTACAGGGACAGTGGGTCCTCAGTCTGTCCCAGGACAGAGGAAGTAGCATCCTACGGGGACAGCAGATCCCTCCTCCCCACGCTGTCCCAGCACGGAGGGGCAGCACCCACCCCACCGCCATCCCGCGTGCCCCCCGCACTCACCCGCAGTCGGGGGCCGGGCACCAGCGGCAGTCGGGGTCGGCGGCGAGGCATCGGCGCAGCATGAACTCCTCGTACTTGGCGACGAGGTGCGGGGAGTCGTGCAGGAGGCGGCGGATGTCGGCGGGGTTGAGGCGCTCGCTGCACTCGGGGCAGCAGATGTTGACGCGGGACTCGGTGATCTCGATGCGCAGGTACTGCCGCAGGCAGGCCCCGCACGACCGGTGCGGGCACGACAGCAGGCGCGGGGCGTTCTCCGCCGGCTGCCGCACCAGGCACAGCGGGCACTCCAGCTCCTCCTCGCCCTCCGGGACCACCGGCGCCTCCTCGGGGGGCGGCGGCGGCGGCGGCGGCGGCGGCGGGGCCGGCGGGGCGGCGGGGGCCGGCGGAGGGGCGGCGGGGGGCGGCTCGGCCTTGGCGCGGCGGCGGCCGCCCGCGGCAGAGGCGGCGGCGGCGGAGCGGCGGGGGGCGGCTCGGCCTTGGCGCGGCGGCGGCCGCCCGCGGCAGAGGCGGCGGCGGCGGAGAAGACGCTCTGGAAGGAGAGGCGGCGGCGGCGGCCGGGCTTGGGGCACTTGGCGGCGGCCGAGTGGATGGAGGAGGAGCGCGGCGATTCGGAGTCCCGCTCGGAGCCCATGGCGGCGGCGGCGGTGATCACTCGGAGGGGTCCGGGGTGGCGGCTGCAGGTCGGTCCCGGGGCTCCGAGCGCCGCGTCCCGCCGGGCGCTGCCTCGGCCGCGCTGTAACGAGAGCGGCGCCAGAGCCGGGTGAGCGCGGCCCGGCCCCGCCCCGCCTTGTCCCGCCCCGCGCCGGGCGCGGCCGCCGCCGCCGCCATTTCGGTTGTGGGCAGCGCCCCCGGGCAGCCCCGGAGGGATCGTGCCCGTTCCTGTCCCCGTCCCTGTGCCCGTCCCTGTACATGTGCCCGTCCCGCTGCTGCGGTGCCATGAGTGGCTCTGAAGCGTGTCAGCGGGGTAGAGCCGATCGCCCGCTCTGCTCTTCGGCTCCCCTCAGCGCCCCCGGCCCCCCTTAGTGCCATTGCTCCCCTCAGCACGCGACTCTCCTCAGCAGCCCGGTTCCCCTCAGCTCCCCGTCTCGCCTCAACACCCCATGTCCCTTCAGCTCCCCATGTCTCCTCAGCTCCCTATCTCTCCTCAACACTCCATGTCCCTTCAGCTCCCCATGTCCCTTCAGCTCCCTATCTCCCTTCAGCTCCCCATCTGCCTTTAACACCATGGCTCCGCTCAGGGCCCCTATCTCCCCTCAGTGCCAGTGCTCCTCTCAGCACCCGACTTTCCTCAGCAACTCAGTTCCCCTCAGCACCCCCAGCTCCCCTCAAAACCCCATCTCCCTTCAGTTCTCCATCTCCCCTCAGCGCTCCTGACTCCCCTCAGCACCCCATCTCCCCTCAGCGCCCTGGTTCCTTCTCAACACCTGCCCCCCCTCAGTCCCTGGCTCCCCCTACACTTGAAAGTACACAAAGATCAAGCATCAAAGAACACCCTTTCTTAGGAAAATGTGTATTCCACATTTCGCAACACCCTCAGCGGTTCCCTCAGTGTCCCATCTCCAGTTTGGACAACACCCTCAGGCACATGGTGGGATTCTTGTAGGGCCAGGAGTTGGACTCGATGATCCTGATGGGTCCCTTCCAACTCAGGATATTCTATGATTCTATGACTCCCCCTTCAGCTCCCCATCTCCCCTCAGCACTATGGCCCCCCTCAACCCCTGGCTCCCCTCAAAATCCTTCCCTTAGCACTGCCATGGCTGCAGGGCTTGCCCAGAGCATCTCTGCCCACCCCAGGGTGGCCATTCCAGCCTTCTGGTCTCATCTAGGGCCTGGAATGGGGGGAATCTTCTGGCTGGGTTGTGCAGAAAAAAAGGTTTCTGTTAAAAATCCCTGGGGCAGTTTGCTTTTTAACATGTATCTTGTTGGAGACGGGGGTCTATAACCTCAGGAGCCCCCTCTAAATCCATTTGCCCCACTGGAGCACCTTGTCCCTCGCTGTGTGTCCCTCCTTCATAACGTCTGTGAAGATCATGTGGAGATTTACTCACCCGGGGAACTCCTCCCCGAGGAGTGCTGGGTTCAGAGGCACTGAAACTACAACCCACATTCCTACTGCAGTCATGCAGAAAGTTAAAAGCCTCCGCTTCCTTCCAGGGTTCCCCCGTGCCCACAGGGGTCTGCCAGCCTCGACTCCCATCCAAAGGCTGAGGAGCTAACGGGAAGGACACTGCTTATTATGCAGGGGAGGCGAAGCAGAAAGATCTGCTGTGTCTACGAGGAGCCTGTTAAATCAGCACAGAAGGGGCTGCCTTCCCTTAGACTGTCAGCTCTGGCTGGACAGACTGTGGTTATTCATGTGACAAGTGTGGCTCCATCACTGTCTCTCCCAGCTATTGCTATTCCCGAAATCATTTATCTCAGGAAAGCCTGTTTGCATTGTTATTACCAGGATCCTTCCTGGCTGCCGAGAGCCCTTGTTGGTGCCTCTGACATGGGAGCAAGGAACCAAACCCAGGCTGACAGTTGGAAGCACCTGGATTTCAGTGCTCGTGCTGCCTGATTGCTGTAGGCAAAGACCCTGTGTCTGTCTGCACAGCAGGGATAATGTTGACACTTCCTGTCTGGCACAGAGGGAGTATATCACCTGCATAAGAGCACAAATGAAGCTTCCTCCTCACCTAAATACCCTACAGCAATCATGCTTTTCCCTGTGCTTTTCCACGTTAATTCTGTGCCTGCCATACACCCTCACTTACTGCTTATCCCAAGATATCTGCTGCACCCAAGTCCTTCCCTGGAGATGACATTCCCCAGACATTTGTCAGCTCATCTGCTGTGCTTTGGCATTCCTGCCACAGCACACGTGGCTTTGGACCAGCTGGAAGTTTTGGGCCACACTTAGAATTGGCCTCAAAGTGGTAAATTCCTGCCTGGGATCAAGAACCCTGTTAATTAGCAAGGTAATTTGGCAAGGGAGCCAAACAGCTCTGCTCCAAGAGAATCTGGGATGCTACAAGGGCGTCTGTGGAGCACATTGTCCCTGAGCAGTGAGTTGCTGAGCTCTGGTCCCTGGTAGGTCATGGGCAGGCATGAAGATGCTTTAGCATCTCCCTGACACTTGTTTTGTGGAGCTCCCAGAGGGAAAGGACCTCTCCCCATTTCACTGTTGGGAAAGCAGGGCCAGAGGAAGAAAGGAGAGGTGTTATATTGGTGTAAAACAAGATTATATTGAAATTAACTGCTCCTGTCTGAGACAAGCTGGGTATGAGGCATTTTTAAAGGGCTGTCGCTGCCCATCTGTAGCAGAGACTGTCTCGCTTTGATGATTTCACTAGAAAAATCACACTCTTGACTGAAATAGAGAAACCTGAACAAGACTCGTGTGTGGGACGGATCTCCCAGACAGTGCTCTGCCAGCTCAGCCCTACGTCCTCTGCAGCGCAAGAGCACAGACTGTAACTAATTGTGGGAAGGTTTCAGCTCAAAAGCTAATGTGAGACAGGCCTGAATTACCAGTAGTGCAGACACAGAGAGACAGAGAGCAAAACCATCTGGAGTTCCTGGGAAAAGCATCGGCTTTGCAACGTGCTGATGGGGCAGAAATGACTCTTCATTGCCTTATATGAGGAAAATCATGATACAAACAGGGCTGGGGGAGGCCAGGGTAAATCCAAGTGACTTCAGAGCCATCTTCCCTCCTCCCAAGCTGCTCAGACCTCTTGCCAGTCTTTATATGTTTGAGGGAATTCAGTGCTTTTAAGGAGCTCAGAGACACAGAATTCCAACTGTCCGGACCTCGCCGTGGTCCAGACATACCAGCTACTCAAAAATAAGTTCTCCATGGCCAAAGTGTTTCTCCGTGGCGAGTTTTGATAGCCCTTGCCAAGAGCAGAGGCTCCTGCTCAGCAAGTTCCTGACTAGCAGTTTGAACCCGGTAGTTTGTTTTGATTCAAACTGGGGGGGGAAAAAACCAACAACCCAGCCAGGAACTGGGGCTGGGAAGCTGGGAAGGAGAGGGGAGGGAAACAAGCTGCCAGGGGGGAGAGGAAAGAGGCTGATTGGAAAGTCGCCGGATTGGGAGTGAGATCAGATCAGCCCCTCCCCGGGGCTGCAAGGAAACAGTCACCAGTCTGACTGTTTAACGCAGGGATATTTGAAAAGATAAACCAGAAAACAAACAAAAGAAAAAAAAATATAGGAAGAGGGGAATTCAAATGCTGCAGTGAATCATTCCACAAATCCCAGCTCCAATAGGCAAATTTGCTTCTGCTTATGCTGGCAGAAAGCTGGAAGACTGCTGACTTCCGACCCCGCTGCTTAAATCAGGGCAGGATTTGGCACAGGCAGCTTTTAAAGCTGCCTTAAAATGCCATATCTCCCAGGAAGGCTTCCAGGGAGAAGGCTTTGTCCAGGCGCTGGTTGGAGCCACCCCACACCGCCCAGTGCCATTCCCAGCCTGGATGGAGCCACTGGGGGAGGCTGAGCTGGGCTGAACCTGCTTTTGGGAGGCACAGGGCCTCTTTCCAGAGAAACACCGTGGCCACCCACACCCCAAAACCCCCCTGCAAAGCAAGTGACAGCTCTGCCGCTGTCGAGGAGGAAGAGTCTCTGGTGATGTAATGAAAATTCCCCTTGGTAATTCAGAGAGTGAAAGCAGAGGGTGCCTGCTGGGAAGGGATTGTGAAACTCAGACTGGGAGTATTTGCATGGAGGAACTGGGGGTGTGCCTGGCCGGGAATATCGCTGTGGTGGGACACTGGCAGGAGGCCCCAGATAAAATAGAAACTCCAGCTCCTACCACATCCCCTTTGCCCACCCCCTGCCTTTCCTGATTACTCGACTGTCACAGGTGTGGTAAATACCTGTTGCTCTGATCCCTGGCCTGCAGGACACAAAGGGATGTTGAAACAGCTATTTCAAGGCACACAAAGATTCAATCTGCCTGAAACCTCCGGGTCATTCAGGCACAGATGTGTGAAACCCTCCCCAGCACAGACTGTTTTCTCTAGAATTCTGTGGGTGTCCTCGGGGTTTCTTCCACTTTTCACAGACAGGGATGGGAGGGGTTACTCAGGGGGCACAGGTTGTGTTGTAAAGCAGATAGAGTTTAGAGAAAATCCAGCTCATGTCGCTGCTCTCTGAAATAGCCACAGACACGAGGAAATGAGGGAAGGAGGGGAACAGCTTTACAGCAGGAATTCTTCCTTGTTTTCGGACAGGGGCACTTGGGAATGACTCAGCTCTGGTTTCTCTGGGCAGGCTGAGACCTTTGGCCCTGCTAGGGTGGGACAACCAGGGTTGTTAAAGGGATGCAGGCCCATCAGGATTCCCCAGTGCCAAAATGCAGATGGCAGTTTCAAGGGTCTCTCTGCTGAGAAACCACCACAAGGCACAGCCAGGTACGTGCTGTGACACCTGAGAGGTGCTGTACTCACAGCATTTAGGGGAGGGTGACAGGGACAGACAGATCCAAGTAGCACAGAGGTATTGTAAACCTCTCAGAAGCGCAGGGCAGGGTCTCTTCCCAGCTTCCTGCCCTGAAGAGTCGTGCCAGAAGCATGTGGCCTTCCTTACTCCTCTTTTTGGGGTCCCAGCTCTGCTGTGTGCAGAGCAGGGATGTCAGTCTTGCTGTGTCCAAGGGATTCAGCAAAGGTTAACCCTGAAAGCGTTGAGCTCTGTGGCGAGGGACGCTGTGCATTCACGGGGAGCAGCTGTGGATGCACGAACTGA